TAAATCTAAATTAAGTGAGTGATGTGGATAAAGTACAGCTGCTATTGCAACACCAAATGATATCATAAATATTACAAATAATTTTAAAAATGTAAAAAAATCATTCGTGATCTATAATGATATTCTCAAAAAAACCAGCAAAAAAAACAAATTAATAGTTAAATTACCATATATTGAAGTCGAATCATCAGTGGACCAAGTATTGGACTTATCGGGAAAAAAATATATAATAATCGATAATAATAATAAATTAATCCAACACCTAAGATTGCTTTTGATGCTACAATTTGACAAGCTATTTGAAAAAAAAACAAAAAAAAATCAATTATAGTTTTTATCTACTCTGTTACTTCCAAAATGCCATAAACCAACTATTCTAAAATCAAGAAAAAGTGCCAAAAATATAATTTGTACGATAATTTCTAATGCAGATCGTCGTAAAGGTAAACTAATTTGAGACTAAAATTTCAGAATATTAAATTTTTTCAGGTTTCTTTTCATTGTACAAAGACTCTTCTTACACAACATTTTTCATAAGTAACACGCATATTTTCAAAAGTTATTAATGCTGCCCAAAACCAAACAAAGAAATCAAGTAGTAAATTTCCACATGATGGCCACATAACAGCCAATGTAAAAAAACATAAAAATGCAACATAACAAACAAAATTTGTATAAAATTTTGTTATTGGTGCTGACCATAAAATTTTAATTTTTTCAAAAAGATTCAGTTGTTTTTCATGAGATGTAGTTTTCGATTTTTTTACAAAACTACCACGCAAACAAGGTATTAGTCGTTGAAAAATATCATTCTAAATAAATTTATATATATATATATATGTCGTATTGAAATTATACTGATTGATAAAATTGTAACTTCTTCATATTACTGTGTCGAACTTAGTTTAGATCAATTAAATATCCAATTATCTCATCGTATGATAACCAAGATACATATATTTACAGTTAATTTTTCTGATGAAGAAAAGATCAACGCTTGATGTTGCTGGAGAAGATCTACGGTCATATAATCTATCAAAATAATGTTATTTTTGATGCTTCTGAAAAGGCTTTTTTCATATTCGTAAAAAATGAATGATTAACTGTACAGATGTATATAGTATGCGAGAAATAAAAATTTCGATTGGTACTTCAGGGAATTTGGAATTGCCATAGATTTTGATTTCTCCCATAGCGTATATATACTCTGATTATAGGCTACGAAACGTTTTGGAGTCTAGAATACGCTCAATAATCTCTATAAGATTCCCAACGAAAATTTAAGAATGGAGAGCAGAAAGGCATTCCTTTTTCGGCAATGCGAAAACAATAAAATTAATGTCTCTAGTTTACAATCCATATTTTGATCTATACATAGCTGATATGATTCCAAAAACATTCACAACTTGTGTCAAAAAAATGTGCGCTTTGATTTTGCTCACTCTGTTGAAAATATTTCTTAGACTTACGAGCTCAGCTATTGAAGGCAACAAAAGCTTTCAGTAGCTTTTCATTTATCTAATTTGAGTTTCCATCATAGTACTACAATTCATTGAGGATGTGGGTGTGGGTGTGATTGCTTACTTCTTCGACACCCACACTCAAATGATCAGTTTTGTGAGTGTACGACCTGGATACTGCACTGTCAGAAAGGTCGACACAAATACCCACGATTACACGACATTTGCGCGCATGACATTTGCGCGCCGACACTTGCGCGCCGACATTTGCGCGCACGACACTTGCGCGCACGACACTTACGCGCGTGACATTTGCGCGCAAAATGATTTCTTTTCATGAAATGAGTCTTCATTCGGGTTTGAGTGTGATGACGGCGGAAGGTGGGTGTCACTGCGATGGGAGAGCAGCAGTTCAAGACAATCCTTCATGTATCTTCACTACCCTAGGGAAAATCTTTGATGTTTCTATGTCTAATCCTTAACGAATCCAATCAGGATCCTTCAAGAATTCGCTGTTTTTTTCCTCAGGAAACGACTAAATCCTGAAAGAAGAGTATAGCCACAGAATTTCAAGATTCTGGTAGGATTCCTAGCAGGATCCAATCAGGATTCTGAACAGATTCCATCCGAAGTGCATGAAATCTTGAAAGAATCATCTCTATTATTCCTGTAAAGATACTCGGCAGGATTAAGCTTGAATCCTTGTAGAATCCTGCATTCATGATTTCGAAAAATATCTTGATAGAAACCCGGATAGATCGTAAATAGGTCCCTGCCTAAACGTACGAAGGCCAAGAAAAGTGAGCTCCGCATGTAAACTTCAAATTTGGAGCTCAATTTTCTTCTCAATCCTTCTGTTATGATTTATAGCACCACCAAGAGTAGTGGTAGCATTACCTTGGATGCCAGAGGCATTTCCTGGGATCCCACTAACATTGCCTATGATGCTAATATCAATTCTCTCGGCTGCTATGGGCACCACCTGAGATGCTACAGGCATTGCCTGGGATGCTATGAGCCGACGCAAAATGCTACTAGCGTCGTAGGTAATGTCTCTGCCATCCAAGAAGATGCCTCTAGGATCCCCAATAATGGCTCTAGCGTCCCAGGAAATGCTTCTAGCATCATAGAGAATGTCTTTAGCAGCCTAGGAAATGCTTCTAGCATGAAGGAGAAGGCTTCAAGCACCACAGAGAATGCTACTAGCACCTCAGGGAATGCTGCCAGCATCACAGGGAATGCTAATGGGGTTCCAGGGAATGCTACTAGCATCAAAGCGAATGCTTCTAACAGCCCAGGAAATGCTAACAGCAACCCAGGGAATGCTTCAAGCATCCCACTGGATGCCACTAGCATCCCAGGGAACGCTATCAGCATCACAGGTTATGGCTCTACCATCTCAGGCGATGCTATTAGTGTTCGAGGAAATGCCAACAGCATCCCAGAAAATGCTACTAGCATTCTAGGTGGTGCTATGAACCATAGCAGAGGGACTGAGAAGAAAATGAGCTCCAAATTTAGACTTTACACAATTTGGAGTCTACGCAGTTTGGAGCTTACTTTTCTTGACCGCGTGCGAAACCCTGGAAAAACGAATTATCAAGGACTGCGGCAGGATCTTGAAGAAAACCTGACAAGATCCTTGAAGTCCAGGATCCTGAAAGATTCGTGCAGGATTTCTCAATGAATGGTCAGAATTGAGACTAGGGTAATACTTAACCCTCACACCCACACGCACAGCCAGCATCTATTTCCTAATCCACATCCGTAGTTATATCCAACCCAGAACGAAGTCAAGCGCAGAAAAAAATCATTTTGCGCGCAAGTGTCGCACGCGTAAGTGTCGTGCGCGAAAATGTCGTTGCGCGAAAGTGCCGCTGCGCGCAAGTATCGCGCGCGCAAGTGTCGTGCGCGAAATTGTCGGCGCGCAAGTGTCGGCGCGCAAATGTCACGCGCGCAAATGTCGTGCCACGATACCCACACCAGAATCATCATTCACATTCTTGAATATCGAATCTTTTTAAATTATTGAACGTATGATAGAAAACATATAGAGCAATAAAATACAAGTCTGTAGAATATAATAATGAATGTATTAATAACATACGTACTCCTTGTCGAACGTTTACTTCACCTATTAGTTCAACTAATTTTTTTTCTTCTAAATTTCATTTAATTTTTAATTTTTAAAAAATATTCAAAAAATAACTGACCACCACGTTTTGATTCGGTTTCTGCATCGTTTTTTGTATCATTTGATAAATCACTTGCTTTTTCTGATACTGAAGGTGCTTGACCAATTGGAGAAAAATTTATCCAAAAACACATTGGGAATATAAGAATAGCACTTAATATGATCTATTCAATAAAGAAAAATATTCGTATCATATTGATCTAATTTTTTTTTGTTTTAGTAACTTTTAGAAACTTTGGACAAATAAATAATCCCCATGAAAGTTCACGTGGTGTTATTTCTCCATAAAATTGTCTTATAATCCATTTTTGACAAACAGGATGTGCCATAAATTCCTTATTATCAGCATGATAAGCTAATTCAATAGTTGTCATATAATTCCAATCCTTAATTAAAATACTTCTTATCTCTTATGAACTTTTTTTTTTTTAATAATTTTTACTGGATGTTTTTCATCAAGCATTTCGAATGTTCTTTGGTTATCTTCATCGAATGATTTATCAAGAATACCTACAGCCCAATTGGAAAATTCTCTGAAATAAATAAAAGAATAGCAGTTATGATGAAAAATAAACAGAACTTTTTTCAAAATTTACTTGGCTTGTTTTTCTATTAATGATCTTAGATAAGATTCGTGACAATATGGTGCTAATTTTATAAACATCATATAACAGATTAATGCTAATGGAATAGGTTCTGACGAATGTTTCCAAAGAATTTTTGCTAATTGTTGTCGATTCATTAATACAGCATAAATAATTAAATATTGAAGAGCCTATTTTAAACAAAAATAATTTCTGTGAAAACATTAAACAAAACAGAAAAAAAGACATTTTACTTTTTTTTCTGCTTTTATCTTTTGTTTCTGAATATCTTTGTCTGATTTATCACCAAAATAAAGTCCCATAGCATTATTATTCATTTCACTTTTACAAAAAACATGATCGATACCCGTCAAACGTTTAACAATTTCATTAAGATCCTTTTCAACAAAATTTTTTGGTACTTCTTCTTCATCCTATTTAATACAAAACAAAAAACAAAAAGAAAATGAATACCCAACAATTTCCTTGTCTTATTTACTCCTGTTAAACTACGAATGCCTTCAAGTGATGTTATTGTGAAAAAATCTCTATCTTTTGCTTGATTAAATAGACTAATGAATTTATCTGAGTTTAAATATCGATGTAGAACAAATTCTCGATCAAGAAATAAATCAACAAATGCTTCATGATTTTCTTCGAGTATAGCTCTATCAAATAATTTTGTTTGTATAGTATATTTCATGCCATCATAACGTTGAAAAATTTCTGATAAAGCTAAATCTGATAAATTCCAATCAAGTGTTAATAGAAGATTTTGTTTTATTTGAATATTTCGCTTTAATTCAGCAATTCGTTTTAATTTATCTGTTTGTTTTGATTCAACATTAACTTTATCATCAGTTAGAATTTTTTGTCCTAAATTAAAAAATAATAATAAAAATAAAGAAAATACAAATATATATATTTATACCTTGTAAAAAAGCTGAAAGAATAAATTTATGAAAATCATTTAATGATGGTGTTGTACTATTAATATCAACAAATGATAAAAATTTTCTTCCTTCTTTATCGGCTTCTTTAACAATTGACATAATATAATTACGAATTTCATTTCGTTTAAGATTATTATCTTTTAATTCGGGATATTCATCAACCAAATATCGAGTTAATTCAATTTTTAAATAATCATCTTCAGATATATTTTTATTTCTAAAAAGAAATAATGTTTTTCAATTGAATCTTAGTTTGTTTTTTCGTTTTATTACTTAGTATTAATTTCTTCATAAGCAAATGCAATAAGATCAGCAGCAGATCCAGTTCCTTTAAGAACGACAATAGGAATTTCTTCTCGAATTTTTTGATAGACAAGTTCAATTGTTTGTATTGTACCATGAACTAAAGTACATACCATTGGAAAACCATCTTCACTCCATGAATTAAATTTATTTAATGGTACTAGTAGAAAATCTAAATAAATCGATAAATTTTTTCTTTTTTTATTCAAGTTATTTTTATACTGGTTGTTGCTGATTGTAATTCGATAGGACTCATAACTTGTTGTTGTAATGCTTCTTTATGTAAAAAAGCTTCAAAACTATTGCGAAATTTATTTGTAACATTTCCAGTTGAATCAGTTCTTTTTTCTAATAGTTTATCGTCAGTATCGATTGTTGTAGATTTTATTTCTGAAATATTTGTCGAACTAGAAGCAATTGGTGATTTACGAATTATTATAAAATGTGTATGATCACTGTTTAATGATAATTGTTCACATTTATTTTGTGGCACTTTTATTTCCTATTAAAAAATAGAATAAAACTGAAATAGAACTATAAAATAAAGTTGTCTTTTTAACCGTTTTTAATTTGTCTTTGCATGAATGGAAATCAATAGAGTCTTTAATGTCATCATCACAAACAATTCCAATTAAAATTAATGTTTTATGTTCTTTCGGTGTTCGATTCATCTGTTTCGCCCATGTATCATCAGCTCGTCGTAATGACTATATTTGAACAAAGTAATTTTTTTAAAAATTTATCAAAGAAATTTCATACAATTTCATCTCGAAAAGCTGATCCAATTAATTTTGGCATACCAATATCAAGACCATTTGTTATAAACCATACTTCAGATGCATTGACAATCTAAATTAATCAATATTTTAAGTTTTATTTTGTTCTAAATATATACAGATATTTGCAAAAGACAAACTTGCACAAAAATTTCGATTGTCCTTTATTGTTAGGTAGAAAACGTTTGCTTATGTTTTGGATATATCATCCTTTACTCTTTTAATTAGTTGTTATCTATTCAACTTTGTTGATTGAAGCAAAGCTGTGATTTTATTGAACATTGTGCACAGTACGAAATAAAGATTCGTATCGGAACTTTCTCTTCGTATTAATTATTAATAAAAATCAAACCATTTCATCTAGTAGTTAAGTATTGAAGGAGAATCACTCGATGGCACATCCTCATTATCAAAGACATACAGAAGTTACTGATAAATACGTATATTCCTCATAATAATTAGATATTACGTATGCTAAATTTTGAGAAAGATAACATTTACAACATGATCGCAACGTCAAAATATACCAGTAAGATAGGGTGCCCAGAAAGTAACTAAACAAAGTCCTCCCTGATTCTTCTTCAAAAAGTTATAAACATTGCAAGAAATTAAACAATAGATTTTCTTCGACAATGCTATAAATATTCCTTTTTGCTTTCATTTTTTTTTGTTCCACTTGTCACCTTTTAAGAAAAGCTCTTCGGAAACTTCTTCATCCTTCATTTTACTTAGAATTTTGTTCTCTTTAAGATAGTACTCTTAAAAAAAAGATTTTTACAAAGTCTTCTA